TATACTCCAGGCACTGTGCTGAGTTAAATATTCAACTATTAACATAGATTTAAGTTTACCCATGTTACAAATGTGAAAACCAAAGCTGAAAGGGTTTTAATTGACTTGCCCAGGGTCAGAGACCTAGTAAATGGCTCAGCAGAATTAAAAAATGAACTTGACATTTGAAATGATTAACACTACTCTGACTTGATTGGAGTTTGTCAAATAAATAAAATTAATGTCCTGCTAATTTTCAGAAAGTAAATTATCGTAATAATATATGCTTAAAATATGCTTTGAAATGAGTCAGATAATTGGGGCAAAAATATTTTTAATGTCTACATGATTTTCATGACTATTTCATTTGGGCAATGAGTTTGTAAAGAATATTATTTAATTTATAATTCAAAAACTATTTACTGATAATGCTAAGTGAGATGTAAGGGCTGTCTACCAGACTGTTTTATGTATTTCATGGATATTTTCCAAATAGGAGGTAGGCAATTTATCCTCCTTACTCTGGGGAAGAGAAAACTGAAGCACAAAAATGTTAAGTAACTTGCCCAAGGCTAAACAGACAGCCAGTGTTAGAATCTGGATTCATACTGGACACAGTAACTCTAGAAACCACCCCCAACTACTTCATGTGTCACCACCTTCCAGAAAATGATGCACATTTTGCTAAATCAAATGGATATTTGTCAGTAACTTGTTAAATTTGATCAACACTGATTTATTCTTGCATTTCCTCACCAAATAATTATTGAATGTTTACGTGTCCCTGGTACTGTCCAGGGGGGCTAAGGTACAACAATGAGATAAATGTATCGGTATAGAACTTACATTCCAATAAAAGAAATCAGAAAGAACCAAAATCTATAAGCAAATGGAGTATATTTATGATAAGTGCTACACAGAAAAATAAAGCAAGAAGAATAATAAGAAGTTTGGGAGTAGAGGGGTAAGAATATTGACATTTTAAATGAAGTGGTCAGGAATATATAATCAATCCTATAAATGAAGCTTAGGGCGGGGAACTTTGGTTTTGAACAACCAGACCTATGTACCCTTAACTTGTGCTACACTTTATTTTTTTCTTGCTATTTAGGCACTTCCCAAATAAAACAGACTTTTTTAGTGCATAAATTACTCTTTCGGATAACTTGGACACTTTGAAAAGCTTCATTAACCTTTTCAGATGAATAAAGGTGGCTCTTAGAGCCTGAGAAAAGTAATTTATTAAATAGCACCCCTGTGACCTGGAAAAAAAAGTAAGCAGGTTCCAAAGTGCCTTTATCTGCTCACAAGAAATAACTTTTGCAGAGACAAATGAGCTTGGCAATTTATCGAAGTTTTAAACTTCCTTAATTTCACTGCCTTC